AAATAAAGTAACAATTCCAATAACAATAAGGGAAAATAAAACTTTCAACATCATATGCACAAGCAATATGCATCATGCAAAAAACCCATGTTGCACGCATACCTTGGGCTCTGGCAATCTTGAGGAGCTTTCAAATGTGACTTCTCGTTTGGTCTCTCGAACTGCCATTTCCTGAGGATTAGAAGGAGGGCTGTTAGAAACTAATTTTTCAAAACAAAATCACAGAAAACTCACAGTCAAATGCTGAGATTACAAAATACCAGTCTCAACTAGTTATATCAGATATGTGTAGCTGTGAAACAATGTAACTCTGAATAATGTTTTATACACCTTTTTTTTCTCATATGATCATAGCGAGTATGTGGATTTTAAAATTCACCCACCGCAAATGCCCTGAAGATGGGAGATAACATACTGTTGCAATTTAATGAAAGAGACTATACATTTTCTATTGATTTTTTCTTTTTCTTTTCCTAGTTATACAAGTTATCAATCATCAAAATATCTTTAAATGGAATACAGAATGTAATGCTAGTAATGTATTTGCGTATAAGATTAAAGGATAATGGTAACTGGTAAGAATTAAAACGTAAAATGATACTGCTTTTTTCTATCATCTGTGTCAGTTGCCCCTACAGATTCAACTTTATGGTCTCTTTACTCAAACGCAGAGAAATCTGTAAGATCCACATCATACCTATAGTAATTATAGTAATCTGAAAAATTCATGAGCATAAAAGATTCTTATTCAAAAACATTCCTTTCACTTTTACAAATATCTGAAGTAACTCATGGGACATTGTGTATAAAGTATCTTTCTAAATTCTTGCCCATTCATAAATAAATCTAATTATAAACTGCAATAATGATCTGTTTAGAACAATTTCTACTAAATTTTCTACATAACCTCTCGGGTAAATAAAAAGAAATCAAAACTTCTTTGAAGTTCAAATCACCATCTAAATCAAAAGGAAATCACTCCCAAACACACAAATGAACATGGTTTTTTCCCTCAAAATAAGAGCAAAAACTGAAGATTCACGATAACTCCCACATCCATGTCATTCTACCCACCTAGCCTCCCTCCCCCCAAATGAAGCATATCCGAAATTAGCACGGTCATTCTTACCTCACTGGTGCTAAGCAGCTTTGTGGACATGTTGTCGGAAACTACCCACTTCTGGTTCTTCATGACAATGTTGAGAGGGGGTTCGTGGGTGGCCTCAGCATCGCAGGACCAGATGGTGACTGTAGCGCCAGCTGGGATCTTGGACTTGGAGTGGAATTTGTATATGGTTTCCGCATCACCAGCTGTGCGGATCACTTGGTAACTACCGATAGCAAAGTCCTGGAAGAGAGTACGACTTGTGAGTAGGATGTTACTTTGAAATTCATGTGAATGATTGAAAGTTAATTACAAATAGACAATTCATGATCTTTTATAAAATGAAAAAGTAAAATGTGTATAGGCATCAAAAATTCTATATATAGAATCATTGGCAATCATATGTATCTATCTATTCACAGCTCAGTCTATGCTTAGCCTTTATTATTCAATCTCATCAATTCCCAGTCATATAAACATACAACCATAAATCATAGAAAATGCATAAAACATAAACAAAAATAAAGTAAGATGTAAGTAAACAGTAGCAGGTCATAAACTATAACAATTAAAAAAGAGTCAATCATATGTAAAACACCAATAAAATAATGACAAAGAACTCAAAATCATTCATACCTTGTCACTCTTGTTGTACAACTTGACGAACTTCCCCTCAGGACAGTCCTCAACAATGTCAATGTCTCCCACCGATCTGGCTGTGGACTGGTATGCAGACTTCTGGAACTCCTCCTCAATGACTTGCCTCTTGCGCTTCATGCCCCTCTGAGGTGTTCGCCTGTATGGGGTTTCCCTCTCTGTGGCACTTGAAGACACTGTGATGTTTAACCTGCAACCACAGTTTAGAATAATTATATGCAAACACAAATTATTCATCGCTGAGCAACTTTTGACTTCTCCAGAAAGCATTTACTTTAACATAGTAAATACTGCATTCAGAGTTAATATATCAAAATATAGTTGAAAATGGAGTTAACCTATTAAAAATCTTAAGCTATATTACCTTTATTCCTCCTTTTTATGTAAACTCTAAGAACACTACCACACCTTGTGTTGATATTGCTGATTAGATAAAGATACACAAATTTGCACCTAGTTTTCATTGAAAATACTTCATATCTCATAAATACCTTTAATAAGCTTTAAATAAAATGATTGAAGGTATTGACCTAGAAAAAAGCACACAAAAATAAAATTAATACAGAGCAAAATGACATTGTCTACTACTACACAGTGGTGGGAGCCCATAAACATTTCAGCTTTGTATATGGAAGTTTATCTGTTCAACCTCCTCATTTCTGAAACCTCCCTCTGTAACACACACATGCAAATCACCCAAAACAAATAAAAAATAGAAAGGTGTCCCACCTAGCTTCC